GAGGACGCCGAGAGAGAGAGAGAGAGAGAGAGAGAGAGAGAGAGAGAGAGAGAGAGTTGTTGTGGTTCAGGTGGGGTTGGAATGGTGGTGAGGGTGGCTATGGGTTTGGGGTTGGAGTGGTGGTGGTGAGAGTGGATGGGTTTGGGGTTGGAGTGGTGGTGGTGAGGGTGGCTGGGTTTGGGAGGTGGTTGAGGTGTGTGCGTGAAATTGGGGAAGGTGAAATTTAAAAAATATATATTCCATTTTCAGATTGAATTTAAAATTTTATAATCAATTACAATTTTTAAAATTAATTTTAAATTTTTAAATTTTATATTTTTAAGGGAATGGGCCACATTGACTAATATATACAAACACAAGGACCAAATTGGCCAAATTGATAACACGGGGACTAAATTGGCCTATGAGATAAAACACAGTGACCAATTTAACAAAAGGATGAGTTTCAATAGTCTGACCTCCAATGGTCATACCAATAATTTTTTCTTAAATAACATGAATTGAAAACATTGAAAAAGGTGACCACATTTATATTATAAATAAAAAAAGAAAAAGAAAAAGGATGGGTTTCAATGGTCTGACCTCCAACGGTCATGACCAATAATTTTTTTATACTTTCTTCTTAAACAACACGATTTGAAACATTTAAAAAGGCTTTAAAATATATATATATATATATATCCAGCTGTGATGACGTCAGTGTGCTTTAATGTTAACCGTTGAAAAGCATATGCATGGGGTCCACCAAAAATTTGGCCTAGGCCTAAGCTGGGCTACATGTGGCCTGGTTGGAGGGCTAAGGGGCCAAATGTAGCCCTCCAAATTTGGCTAAAATTTTGTTTAACTGAAGATGAATTTTGCATTATTTTAGGGCTATATGATATAGCCCATGGCTGAAGATGGCTTTAGGGACTATGTTTGGGCTTGCCCTAACAAGCTGCACGCCCCACACAAAAGACGTTTTGGCGGGAGTTGAGCACTCGACCTCCAAATTTCCAATTTCAAAAGCCTCCGCAAACCCCAGAAACCTCAAATGCATTCCGATCTCTGAATCTCAGACAAATTAGAGGGTGAGAGAGAGAGAAATGGCTCGGGAGGAAGCGCAGCTGAGCGCGGCCAAGAAGTCGTATCGAAACGCTAAGGCTACGGGGAACCACGAGGAGGAGGCTCGGTGGGCGAATGTGATCGGTGACATGTTGAAGAAGAGAGGGGAGTACGTGGAGGCCCTCAAGTGGCTGCGCATCGACTACGACGTCTCCGTTAAGTACTTGCCCGAAAAACATTGCCTTCCCACTTGTCAGTCACTCGGTGAGCTCTATCTTCGCCTTGAGTTTTACAAAGATGCTCTTCTGTATCAGGTATTTTGTCGATTTGGGTTTGTTTCGTTTAAGTGTTTTTTATGAATTTTTTGTCGGATTTCTGTATTTTTATTTTTCGGGTTTAAGAATGTCGAATATTGGAAGTTGGGTAGTTGTGGTTGTTTGATTGCTGAGAAATTTGGGGAAAATGAAAACAAAACGAGGGATTTGGGTGAGATTATAACCAACTTATTATATTGATAAGAAGGGTTGAGCTGAGTGGAGGGGTTTTGTTTTCTGTGGGGTCTGTAAAGGAAGTAGTAGACTTGAACTTCAGCATCTGTTTGGTTGTTGAGAATGTGCATGAAAGTGAAGCGGGTGAAGAACTTTGAGTAAGTAGGGCTTAATATGTTGGGCGCACATTTGATTGTTTGAATTCTTGAATTGATCAGATTAAATAAAGGCCAGGTTAATCCCTACATTGACTACTTTCAAGATTCTAGTCCGTTACAAAGTCTTAGCAAATACCCATTGAGATATCAAATGGTTCTACCTTTCTGTAGCCTTAATATTAGGTGAATAAATTATTTGACATCTGTTATTCTGTAGAGAGATTTATTGAGAAATCATATAGTTTTGGATGTATGAGTGCTACTTTTGAGAACCAAAATTGAGTCTTTACCTGTTGTCTCTGTTGCAGAAAAAACATTTAGAGCTTGCGGAGGATGCCAATAATCTCATTGAGCAGCAAAGGGCCAATACACAACTAGGTCGTACCTACCATGAAATGTTTTTAAGGTCTGACGATGACCATTATTCGGTTCAGAATGCCAAAAAGTATTTCAAGTCCGCTATGAAGCTTGCTCAGATTATCAAGGAGAATCCACCTACTAAGAATTGTTCTTTCCTCAAGGAATATATTGATGCGCATAACAATATAGGAATGCTTGAGTTTGACCTTGATAATCCAGAAGAGGCTCGAAAAATCTTAACTAAAGGATTGGAGATTTGCGACGAAGAAGAGGTAATGGCAGGCGATGATGGGCGCAGCAGGCTCCATCACAACCTTGGAAATGTTTACATGGAGCTAAGGATGTGGGATAATGCTCGGGAACACATTGAGAAGGACATTATGATATGTAAAAGAATTGGCCATTGCCAAGGGGAGGCAAAGGGGTACATCAATCTTGGTGAATTGCATTACCGTATTCAGAAGTATGAGGAAGCACTCCTTTGCTACCAAAAAGCACGTGAACTGGCAAAATCAATGGAAGATGAGGATGCTTTACTCAGGCAGATTGATCAAAATATTGAAATTGTAAACGAAGCCATTAAAGTAATGGATGGGCTGAAGAAAGAAGAGCAGAATCTCAAAAAGCTAACAAGAGACATGGCCATTACAAGAGGCACACCGCGTGAGAGGAAGTGTCTGCTGCAGCAAAATGCTTCTCTTGATTGCCTCATAGAGAAATCAAGGACGATCTTTGCCTGGCTTAAGGTACATACTTGGCTCAATATGTTTTGTCTGCCTTTCCACCTTTTTTTAAAATGTATGTTGCTCTTCATAAGGAACAATGCTCCATCTTGTTGAGTTAGTCTCTTGTTTCTCTGTTATTCTTGTTATGCTATTAAAAGCTTTTCCTGTCATTATTGAAAAATTTCATATTTCAGCTCCTTGAATTTGCGAAAAGGAAGAAGATAATAGCGAGTGAGCTTTGTGACCAAGAAAAGCTGAGTGATTCTCTTTTGGTTATTGGAGAATCATACCAGAAGCTAAGAAAGTTCAAGAAAGCCCTTAAGTGGTACATGAAGAGTTGGGAAATATACAAGTCAATTGGTAATTTGGAGGTAAGTTGGTGTAGTTGGCCTTTTCTCTATAACATTATACAGTATGATGTGTAATTTAGTGTCCTCGACAGAGAAGTAACGTGGACATAAAACATGCTTAAATTAATTGTTAGTAGACTTTGGTAAGCTTGGTGCATGCTATATCATCTAACTAGAGATCGAGGTGGTCCTGCTGGGCAACATTGGGATTTCATTAATGTATATTGATTGTGTTGATGGTTGTACTGTACTTCTGTTGTTTGATAGATGCTGACTCAGAATTGTTAATGTGTAGGGGCAAGCGTTAACAAAAATTAATGTAGGTGATGTTTTGGACAGTGATAATAATTGGGAAGGAGCACTAGATGCATTTGAAGAGAGCTACAGGTATGTTTTTTTCTAGTGGACATTTCTTTTTTGAATTTGAAGATCATAAAGAAGCTTTTTAATCACCATGGATTCTCTAAGGTGTCTGCATTCATGCTGAGCACAAAAATCGTCCTGGATGATTGCATATAAAATTGTGAAATACAACATTTGATATCAAAAATATCTGTGAGCATGTGGCTCACATAGCTTTAATATGCTGTTTTTTTTTCTTTGGCATCTCATAGTTTTCAGTTGTTATAACAAATTATACAAACTGTGTGTTCACATGAAAAAGGAGTTGTAGTTTTTGTTGTAGGGTGCGAGAGTATTTATATTCAACATGTGAAAAATAAATCTTGAGAATAAGATGAAGATCATCTTTCATAATTCATGAATACAGTACATAGGTGTTTAAATAGAACACCAATACATCAATTGTCCTAATTATTTTCTAGAATCAACTTTTTTTGAACTATACATCTTTATTAGCTTCCAAACCAGAACCAACTTGGTTTTCACATGCACAATAGAGTCAATGCAAGAGTGTGAGAGTTAAGAACTGCATTCCTAGGCACTATATTTTCACATTGAGTAAATTTATCATAAAGAACATTAAAGATAGTGCATAGTTTGATGCCCATTTTATTTCTATTCATTTTTCCTCTATCCATTTGTTAAAACTGCTGCTTTTATTTATTAACATCATCATCGCAATTCACATTGTTTTTGAAATGTTGCTATGATGTTCAGATTTTTAATAATCATTTTGTTCATCTGAAATACAAAAGAAAATGAATCTAAATTTAGTCTTGAGAGAGAATATATATATTACGTATATTATGGCTTTAATTTGGTCCGTATGGAGATTCATTTTGAGGACTTGTGAAAGATTCATGTAGCCAACCCCATATTTTGGATAGAGTTGTGTTTGTTTTCCTCAAAAGAGCTATTTGTAACTATTCTAGCTCAAAAGATACCCTAGAATATAGTCAATTGATTAGCCTATAAATGCATAAACTTTCTTTTCTGACCCAAAAATAAATTTTCTTGCTTTCAAGGGTTATGTTGAATTCATACTGTATTGTCTTTGCAGGCTTGCGGTTGAGGCGAACCTTCCTTCTGTACAGCTTATGGCACTAGAGAATATGCACTACAGCCACATGATAAGATTTGACAATGTTGAAGAGGCCAGGTAATTCCTGCAAGACTCCCACCGCTCTCGATGCTATGGAAAGTAATGACCAAATGGTTAATAATATAAGACTTCAGGTTGTATCATTATTTTTATAAAATTTTCAATAAGTTATTTTTAAAGGTGGGATACCTCTGTGTAGGAGATTGCAGCTTCGAATCGACAAATTGAAGCAATCAAAATATAAAGATCTTCAAACAGAAAATGTGGCAGAGGATCACTGCTCGGAATCTGATACAGAAGGGAGTGGTCATCTGTCAGATAATATGTGCAATGCATGCGGTTCATCAGAGATAAGAAAATGTAATTCTAGCAAATCACAATCTTTAGCCAGTGTGGAAGAGTTAAACGATGAGGAACCTATAATTTCTCTTATCTCTTCGACCAAAGCTTCACCCAAGGTGAAATCCGCTCATTTAGGAAAACAAAATATTACAACTGAGACAAATGTTTCACAAAAAAGTTTGTCTGAACTGAACACTAATGAGCAGACAGTCATTGGCCGTAAACGTGTTCGTTTAGTCCTTTCTGATGATGAAGATGAAATGTATGATGAGGTACAATGCTCAAAAAGCTGGTCTAAGAAACTCCCATTAGAAGATGTTGCTACATCTGATGAACGTAAGTCTTAACCATTGACTAATTTGATCTTCATATTTTACCACAGTGAAGAGCCATAAAATCTAATGTTTTTCTTGTCTGGTTGCAGTGAAGAGTAAAAGAAATACAGCCAGCCCTGCTCGTAAATTTCAGGTAGGGGCTTGTCTTGGATCGATTGTGGAGAATAATCTCACCCTTGTTGTAGTTGGTTTTTAAGTGCTTAACCCTTTGGGTTTTGCAGGATGTCTCAGCCTATACCTCAAATCATATCACAAGGTCTTGCAATCCTGTTAATATTGAACAAAGCTCTAGTTCATGCAAATCCAGGACTCTTAATGTGGTCACTCAAAATGGCAGAGGTTTTAGAGCTTCAAGCTCCGAAGGTTCCATTGCTGCTAGTGGCTCTAAATGTGATATCGGTGTCCCTGAAAATCTAGTTAATAAGAATCACGGTGCCCATCTTATTTTTCTTACCTCTGATGATGAAAACAATGTGAGTGCTAGCCAATTTACTTGTAGACAGATGGTTCTATCTGGTTGCATATGACTCTGCACTGTGCTGTTGCCACTAGTACAGTTTTAATATTTACTAAATTGTGGTCTTTTGTAATTGCAGCAATGCATTACAGTCAAGATTGACAAAGACCTAATACATTTGGATAATGGCTCATTTATGGATTCTGATAAGTTAAGCATTGAGTCTGTCAAGGTTGAACTGGCGTGCTTATACTACTTGCGACTTCCAATGGAAAGAAGATCAGAAGGTAGGCATTTATTGAATTTAGTATGTTTGAAGTTGCTGATAGTTATGGCACTAAAACCTTGACATATAACTTGAAGTTGCTGCAGAACAGACTGGGTTCAATTAATAGTTGCAATCAAGATGTTATTGCATACAAAGATTTTGTTATTTTTTATATTCTTTAACAGAAAGCAAGAAAGCATTGGAATGGTCCTTTCAGCATTTTCACTATCCTCCAAGATGAAAACTAGGTGGATGGGCATGTATGAACACTAGTGTGTTTGAAATAAGTTTGCAGTATGGTATAGATATTGTGGCACATATGGGGGAACTTTAGTAACCTTGTTGAAATAATCTACTAAAGATGATGATTTCACAATTAAAGAGTAGGGCACAGTCTCAGTCATGCACCAGAAATTCTGGCCAAGTGGCTCGCACATTGCTAAGCTTACCTCTGTGCTACTTTAGTTGATTGCATGTGTCTAAAACGATGCTCATGTAAATTCCAAAATTTCTCTAGATTGCATCCTTAAGCGTTTTGGTACCATTGGGTTTAGATTGATATATAAATATATATGTACATCAATCTATCTATCTATCTAGTGTTAAAGTATCTGTTTCCTCCAAAACAACTTGTGATCATACTAACACTTGGATTGTGCATTGTTAGGGCTACTTCCAATAATACAGAATATAAAATGTGGTGAAAGTGTCATACAATCTGTGGAAACATTTCAAAATCTTAAGCAGGATATGGGGAAAGTCTTGGTTGAAGCTTTCATTGATGGTATGTGTTTCAACAGTTTGAAGCGTATTTCATATATCCTCATCTTTATTTATATGATTTATAAAAACCTGTTAACAACTATTTGTAATTGTAATCAACAAACTAATCCTTATTTTGAATTATTTTCATAAATATATCTGGTTGATTTTCTTTTCCTGGGATTTTCTTGTGGGGTTGGGTGGATTTTGTTGAGATGTTATATTTTGATTAAATATATCTTCCTAAGAAGTAATTTGTAGAGTATGAGGACTTTTTACTAACAAAAAAAAGAGAAGTTAAAGTACTTTTTGGTGCTGTTTCCATCGATTTTGTCAATTAGTTTAGGGTATGGGATCCTATAACTTTAACATGGCATTAAAGCAGATAATTTATCTGCTATGTCCAATATGCCCACACACGTCATGTGTTTGGCTTAGGTCTGGCCACACATGAGGGTATGTGCTGGGGTTATACAAATCCCCCATCGAATCCTCTAAGCCTTGCATCTCAATGCATAAAATTTTGGGCATCTCTTCCCCTTGCCAATTGGTTTTGAATTGGATGCTCCAACTATTACAAGTCGCCTTGCTTGCATCTGTTGTAGATGGTTAGCTCCATGAGAATTTTTTGGGGTTTGACTATTCAATCTTAAAAGGTATATATGATTGATTCATCATAAACAGTTCTGAAGAAAACTGTCTTCTCAATTGCAATAGTTGCTGTGAAGACCTTGTGTAACTATGGCTAAATTAACAGAAAAGCTTAATAATCTGCTTGATGGGATTTTTCAAATTGGGAAATTACTGCTTCGAGGAGGTCAATATGATCTGTTTAAAATAATGAAGAAATCAGATGCTTTCATTTAAAGTCTTTTCTTAATCTCTGTCTCTGGAAACTTTTCAAACTGATGTTGGATGTAAAGAGAATTCGTCCAATACAAGTATTTGGAGCCGAGGTAGATTTCTGAACTCTTGGTAGTCTTATATTGTTGAGCATACATATGATGATGCAGATTACTGAGTATTTTTTAGTCAGTCCCCAAATGGAGTTGATTGTCTTCTCTTGTTAATCACTTCAATGTGGTTTTCCTTTATATTTCCCCTTCAACTTTCTGCTAGCAATAACATAAGATTCTTAATAAATGGATTATATCCAATTTCTTTTTCTTCCTTTTTGTTAAAATCCAACTTTGCATGTTGCACAGGATGGGTCCAAAAGCGCTTGATAAAACTGTACACCGATTGCTGCTACAAGTTATCTGAGACACCCAATATGAAATTGCTTAAGAAACTGTATGATCTGGAGGTAAGACTGGAGGCAATCTAGTGAGGACATCTTTGTTCTGTATTCCACAACCTATTGTAGGATGATTATAACATATTCTCTCATTGAGGCTTGAATATATCTTCCGATTTTGTTTCTTTTTTGGTCTACCAGTTTTCAGATGATGAAGTTACTGTGTCTGAATGTGAACTGCAAGATTTATCAATAGCTCCATTGTTGAATGCCCTGTATGCCCACAAAACATTTGCAATGCTGGACCTTTCTCACAATTTGTTAGGTAATTTTTTTATTGACATTTTCAAGGGTTGCTTCTGGACTAGAAAGTGTGTGTTAGCCTCTCTTTGATATGCTACTACTAGACTGAACCCTCTTTAGTTCTTGCCTATACAAAAAATTAGTCCAGGAAATTTTGGGTAGTGTTAACTGTTTATTGGCTCGGTATTACCCAGGAAATGGTACAATGGAGAAACTGCAGCATGTTCTCACATCATCAGGCCAAAATTATGGTGGGTTAACGTTGGATTTGCACAGCAACCTATTTGGTCCAACTTCTTTGTTTCAGGTTTGTAACCAACTTAGCAAGAATTTTCATGTTAAAGCTTAAGTTGAGTTTTTTTTGGAAGATTCACCCTACATGTTTTTTGTTAAATAACTTGCTGCTGGATCTTGTTCTTTAATGTAACCAACGGCAATAGACTAAACTAGCAAATATTAGAAAACTTAGACACACAAGAATTATACTGGTTCGGCAGAACTTTTTCCTACGTCCAGTTGTGATTTCTTGTGTTGCTTTTGGAATAGAAAGTGTGTGTTAGCCTTTCTCTTTGATATGCTACTACTAGACTGAACCCTCTTTAGTTCTTGCCTATACAAAAAATTAGTCCAGCAAATTTTGGGTAGTGTTAACTGTTTATTGGCTCGGTATTACCCAGGAAATGGTACAATGGAGAAACTGCAGCATGTTCTCACTTCATCAGGCCAAAATTATGGTGGGTTAACGTTGGATTTGCACAGCAACCTATTTGGTCCAACTTCTTTGTTTCAGGTTTGTAACCAACTTAGCAAGAATTTTCATGTTAAAGCTTAAGTTGAGTTTTTTTTGGAAGATTCACCCTACATGTTTTTCCCAAGTAGGGTTCTCTCGCTTTTGTTTGATGCTACATGGATTTATTGTGCATTAATGGAGATAAGTGGGTTAAACTTGACTTTGCATTTCTATTTCCTGTGAGGTAGAACAGAGGTATTACCTTTTCTGTTTTGGCCTGAACAACAATGGTACTACTAGACCCCACAATAAATGTTAGAACATAGGAAATTTACAGTGTTAAGTTTTTTAGATTAATGGTATCAAAGCAGGAGATCTTGAGTTCATATCTTTGTAATGACAACCTCCTAAACTCCTAAATTCCTTTTGTTAGGGAGAGGCAGACATGTAGGAGTATTAGAATGTAAATTATTACCCTACATCCTAAGTTGTGAAAAATGGTAAACCAATAAATTTCTCTGGAACTAGTTAATGACTGAAACTTCCTCTATCATATTGAGAAAGCTAGAACCACTTCTAGGGTGTCCCACTCTCTCTTTAAAGTTTCTTAATTATAGGTTGTACATATGAACTATTATTTTTGGCATTTTAAAATTTTCCAAGTCAGCCCACTTTTTCAAATAAACCCTTGCTACATAATATTCTATCTAATTACTAGTTATCTGGGAAAATTGACAAAGAAACCCGTAAGATTAATAAAAATTGCACACATGTTTGGTGAATGTGAAGGAGCCATGTAACTGTAAGTATTTCAAGATGCCAGTTTGATGTTGAGGCCATCAGTTTTAGTAGCCTACTGGTTCTTTCATGTCTGAACTTTCCAGAGGAGGAAGTACTTGTTCAAGTCCAGCCTATGTAATTTGAGGAACTAGAGAGGGGCATGCTAACCCCCATTATCTTTTCTATTGTCTCTATTGATTGAAAATTTAGAAAAAAAAAAAAGGGACAATTCTCACGGTATCAAGGTATTTGCAAACATGGATTTTGTAGTTTTATATTTAATGATGATAAATTGTAGTCAGGAATAGCATATTAAATTTGTTGTTATCAGGGCAACAGTAGGGCCTTTCTATATTTATAATAAGCTCACTATAAGTCTATAACCATTTGTGTGTCAATCTGTAGATTTGTGAATGCCCTTTGCTATTTTCTCGATTGGAAGTGCTCAATATCTCTGGAAACCGTCTCACTGATGCATGTGCCTCTTACCTTTCAACTATCTTGGAAAATTGCAAGGGTAAAGTGCTTTCCTTGAAGGTCAACTATTTAGAATTTTGGTTGCTGTTTCGTATCTATTATTAGTAACATATGTGCTTCTTGCTAAATTTAATTCTTTTAACACAATTTGTTCAAAATAAGGCTTAAACGTCTCCATGTTTCTACTCTACTTATGTGGTATTCACTTGTAGCTCTTTGCAGCTTGAGTATAGAGCGGTGTTCTATAACATCTAGAACAATTCAGAAGGTTTCTGATGCATTGAATGCTTCTTCTGTGCTCGAGCAACTTTGTATAGGTACGCTTGACTTATTGTATTGGCAATCAGCATTACTCCCTGGACTCTTTATTTTCATTTAATACATTTTCTCAATTCCTCTCCTTCCACAGGACATAACAACCCAATTTCTGGAAGTACCATCGCTGATTTACTTTCCAAGCTTGGCACTCTGAAAAGGTTTAGATTGAATTAAGTAGTCACTCTTTCCTTTTGAAAGCATAGGTAACAGATATCCACTGACTGGTCTAAATATACAAATTACTTTCTCTAATGTAGATTTTCAAAATTAAATCTGAATGGTTTGAAGCTAAGCAAGTCTGTAGTTGATAGCCTTTGCCAGCTTGCTGCAACCTTGCCCTTCTCAGTATTAAGTCTTGGGGAAACTGGTATTGGAATTGTGAGTGAACTCTCTCATTTTTCATAACTTACTGTTGTTGGACTTAATTCACTAGTCATATTCTCCTGTTCTTTTCTTTCAATTATTTATTTATTTATTTATTGTTTTGCAGGATGGGGCGTTAAGATTAACTGAGTCATTGTTCAATGGAACTGCAGAGTTTCTAAAACTTGACTTATCATATTGTGGTGTGACATCTAATTATGTTCTCAAACTAAGCACTGTTTCTTCTATGATTTGTGGCATTCTTGAGCTGAACCTTTCCGGAAATCCTATTATGCAGGAGGTTTGTTCTTTTAACTCGGGAGTTTGCTAATAGTTAACTTGTTATGCTTGTCTTGTTGCAACTAGTAACCATTCTGGGTAGTGTGTGTGATGAGTATGCTCTACCATTAAGCTCTTTCTGCCAGCTACTATGTCTGAAAATGGCAGTAGTATGATGAGTATCGGAGATGACCATCTTAATCAATAACAGTAAAAGATGACTCTGTTTTACAGCTTGAATACCAAACAATTTGAGTCTAAAAGATGTTTGTATTTAACTTGTCTCAGTCTAAAACTGATCTAAATCGTTCAAATTTAAAATTACATGTAAATATGTAGCCCTGATATTCCTGAGGTTGTTTAGTTGAACCTAAATGAGATTCTTTTGTCATTAACCCTCTCCTAGCCCAGTGGTGTTAGGTTCAAACCTCCATGGCACCTTGGTAGTTTTTGTGTGAGAAATCCCCCTTCCCTTGTAGTTTAGACTATTGCTCATATTCAACAACAACAACAACAAAAAACCCTCCTAGCCTTCTGTTTTTAATACGTTGTTGGCTAATGGCACCATCTATACATTTGCTTGGTCCTTCCACTTTGCTTGTGTCACTTTTGGCATGAAATGCATTCCTCACTATGTATTCATTGAGTTTCATCATACATGGCCAAATCCTTCTAATCGGCTTTATCTAATATCATTCATAGATGGGACATCTTTACCTTCAGAGCAGTTTTCTTTCCACTTTCCCCTGTAATCATCTATCTTGATAGTTTTAATCTACATTCCCTTTTCTCCCCTTTGATATGCCGAGAACGATATATGGAACCCTGCAATAATTACTGAAGTTCCATTCACAGGGTTGAAATAGCAAGTTGAGGGATCTGTTTGTGATTGTACATATCTGATGTAATTTAGAACAGATTTGTTCATATCTGCATACTTGCATCTTCTGTACACTTTGTGGTTGCTTGCAGCCCTTGAAGTCTCTGGTGGTCTACCTTTGTCTTTTAGTACCACCAGTAAATTCCAGATGGAATTTGACATGGTGTTCAGTTAAATGTGAATGTAATGGCTTTCTGTACACTTTGTGGTTGCTTGCAGCCCTTGAAGTCTCTGGTGGTCTACCTTTGTCTTTTAGTACCACCAGTAAATTCCACATGGAATTTGACATGGTGTTCAGTTAAATGTGAATGTAATGGCTAATATATATGGCTATGTATTCAAAATTTGAATATTCACTGATAACATAATCTATCAGTCAGAAAATCCTGATTACCATTCAATGTTCCCCTCTCTCAATAGGATGTTATCATTTGTCTTTTAGCTAATCTAAGTGCTGTGAGAGAATTTCTGACCTTATTGAAAACAAAAAATGGTAGCCCATGCTATTCTAATTATTTTAATTTCAGACTTTCGTTATACTGACCTGATCCAACCATGAACACAGGGTAGCCTTGCATTATCATCAATGCTTTTGAATTCTCAATGTTGTCTGAAAACTTTGGTCCTTCAAAAGTGCCAGCTTGGGACTGCTGGAGTTCTTCGAATAATGCAGGCATTATCAGGTTCACATCACTAAGCCCACTTCAGTTCTAAATATCAGTACCTCCCTAGAAATGAACTTACAATTTATTGGTTCGATGTTTTAAGCAGGTAATGGTTTTCTCGAAGAGTTGAATCTAGCTGATAATGCCAATCATAGACAGAACTCTGCTCAACCGGGGTCATGCAATGCGAACACCAACTTAGATGGGCTTGAAGTTGCTGATAGTGAAGATGATGAAGTAAAAGCTGCTGCATCTGGACTTGACAACAACCACACAAGACCATGCCAAAGAAATTCCTCATCTTCTGGATGTCAGTTTATTCAAGGGCTTTCAAGTGCCATTGATATGGCAAAGAATTTACGATTACTGGACCTTAGCAATAATGGTTTCTCCACACAAGACGCAGATATACTGTATTCTTCATGGTCAGGATCAAGATTTGGTTCAGCTCAGAGGCATATAAAGGACCAGATCATCCATTTATTTGTGGAGGGAATAAAGTGTTGCGTGAAACCCTGCTGCAGAAAGGACTAGTTTTCTTGCTGCTACATCTTCATTGAGGGATTTGCAGGGAGGATTTGATGCACTTTGGAAGCTTAAGCTATTTTTATTTTATTTATATCTGTATATATATTTAGATTACCCTTCAATAAGTTCCACCTCCAGCAGACTTTTCCAGTTGAGTTCCAATTTTCTTTTTTTTTTGTACATGATATACAGTGGATAATCGGTCTTTTTGTCGGTTGTTTTGTTTTGCCGACCGATTGATCGAACCTTGGAAGTTGAAAAATGGTGTACTCACAAGCACTTATATGGGCTCAAGTCCTCCTGCTCATGCATTTGTTTTGCATGTAGTAGAGCAAGCGTTGGCTTTTAAAACAAGCACTTTTATGGGTTTCCAAGCTTCGTTTACAGTATCTTGATATTGAATGTGATTCCACAAGCGTGAGGCCCGCTGCTTCACTACAGCATTTCATATGAATTTTTTTGCCTATTTAGTATGATGATCAGGAGAATGAAACATAGGTTTAAGGCAATCTTTATAGAACTGCCTTGGTTGCTGTCTGGTTTTTGGAGTTGACTCTATACATGTATTACGTAAGGAAGCATTAGTTGTTCTTTTTCTCCCCTTAACTAGTCAGACCACGGGTTAAATCAGTTGATTAGGGTAGTGAATGCGCCGCTTTGCACTCAAGTTCGAGTTTTCTCTCTATAAATTAGATTAATTTAGGGTAGATTATACTATCGCTTTTAACAAAAAAAACATTATTTCATAATTAATTACAAAATAGAAACAAATTTCTTCATTCTCCCATGAAACATATTTAACCATTTATTACATAAACAAAAACTGAAACTAAAACAGTAAAAACAAATAATAAAAACTTATTTTATATGCTGGGAAGTTAGCTTAGTCTTTACAACAAAATTTTTTATTTTAATGGTATTTCTCTTTCCGATGTTAAGTGGTTCAAAGTTCGAATTCTCCTCTCTCTCGTTGATTAAATAAAAGAAAATACTTGGGTTCATGTTTTCTAAATTATCCCACACAGCTCTGGCTAAGTATCATCATATTTTTATCGTTTCAATTTGCCGTACGTATTCAAGCTATATACTAAGATGTACTTGAAAATAAGTTTAAAGTATAGAAGAAAGTCATGATCTTCATGATCTTCTAAGAAATACAATAGAAGAAGAATTAATATATAGAATAGGTGTAGCAAAGTGGAAAAGTTGACCACCAAATAAATAGCTCCCCTCCACATCATCAGAAGATGATATGCATGCCAATCCAATGTATTAAACTTCTACCCTCCTAATGTGGATATTCCTAATTGGATCATGTCCCAATTGGCATCAGGTTTCACCTACTTTTCTTCAAATTCTTTTTACTATCCGTTCGAATATTTCACAACATATTCTTAATCAAGCAAGTAATCATATTGAAGGTGACTCTGAAATTCTACTTCAAAATCAAATCCTACGTCATCAAATTCCTACCTCTTGGTCTATTAGAATGCTTGTGCAACATATATATTTGGCAATTGTTACATGACTTTCAACATGTATATCCTTATCGTATGCTTTTCGTAAAATAAATCAAGCGACGAATACGTCGAAAAGGACGTTCCCAAAGATATACGTACATACGCTTTAGGAATTTTCCACAGAAAAACAATTTAACTACCTACCAATTGTGTGAACCATCAAAGAAAAACATGAATAATTTTATATTTTCTTTTATGAGGCCAGACATATCCATGTGAAGCATTTCTCTTAGATATTTTTGTTGTTTGCATATCTTAATCCTAATTATTAGGTCTTACTTCACATATTTGTATCTATAGTATCATATGGGGAAGGACCTCGGGTCCACAGCCCGCTGCTGGTATTTACGTGAGGAGAATTCGAACTTGAAACATTTAACGAAGGTAATCTTTAGAAAAATTAGGTGGAAGACAGACTTCGTTGTTCCCTACCTAAACCCTAAAACTACATGAAATAATTGATTCTTACATGTATTGTTTTTCTCTGTCTAACTAGCTGGAGAACGTTTTTGCTGTCGCCTTTAAGTATTTTGTTTGGTGTGCTTGGTCTGTTTGGTGTGTTGCAGCTTCTTGTGCTGTTTCCTTCCTTTCCCTTTCATTTTTAATGAAAGTGTGTTTCCAGCACCCAAAAAAAAAAAAAAAAACAACAACTAGCAGTACAACGTTATTTTTTCTTTTTTAAATTTGTTTATGTAAAAAACTTTGGATGCACATTGTCACACACACAAAGGGGTTCTATAGATCAATCGGACATCTATTAATTTCGTTTTGGGTAGCTAGTAATTGTGAAACATGTTTATAGAATAATTCAAAAATAAAAACAAATTTATTTCATTCCTCTTATATGTAACACAAACAAAAAACTGAAACTAGAACAGTTAAGGAAAAAATAACAACACAATATAACAATTTTTTTGCCCTTTGAATTTAGCTCCATCTTTGTCAACTAACTCTTAATTTAATGATATTTTTCTTTCCAGTGTTAAAAGCGATTCCAAATTCTAATCCCCTTCTCTGCTGATTTTTATTTTTATATTTTTAAAAAGGAGATACTTAGGTTCATCTTTTCTAAATCATCCCATAGTTCCTGCTAATTAAGTATCATGTTTCTCTCGATCGTGCCAATGTGTATATACTAAAAATGTGTTTGAATATATAATACAAGTATGCATAAAACAGTGTGCATGGAGAACCCCTCATGATATGTGTCGAAGAAATTCATGATCTTCTAATATAAGAAATACTAATACAGAAGAATATAGTGTAGTAGTGCGTACGTAGCAAAGTGGATAAGTTCACCACCAAATAAATAGTTCCTGGGGTGTTACCTCCACATCAGAATCAGATAGATCATATTCTGCATGCCAATCAGCTTCTGCCCAGCTTTGAACTCTCCACTGGGTCAACATATATATACATATTCCCCAGTCAGCTTCTGCTCAGCTTTGACCCATCTTGGTTGAAACCTCCCCGCTTAATGTACAACGATGACATAGCAATAACTCAATTTGGCCAAATGTCCTTCCTTCCTACCATCTATCAACACAACACACGACTTGCATGCATTTCCTTCATTCCACGACTACTTGCATGCATTTCCATGTGTTTCAACTCCCAAGTTTCCCGATATCAACGATGCGCCAAAAAACAAAGTTAAACTGACCTAACATATATGTCATGATTATTGTGACACGAAGCTTTGCTAATTACGAGAGAAATGTTAACGGCACTTGCTTAATATACTAAACTCACATATATACACTACATGAATGCTAGGACTCGAACCTATGAACTGTCATGGACTGTACTAGTGGGTTCTTTGCACGGCATTTGTTTATATAGATTTACTGTGTCACCTTATGATTTTGGCTCAAGAATTAATATTAAGTTTAGTTAAGATTTGGCTGGAATTGTTCTGACCCTAGTTGCTTAATTGAATAAATTCTCGTCTTGATAAACACAAAGGAAGTATTCAAAATGAGTTTGGCTGCTTAATTATGTACATTTAAAACTGAACTATACTTCTTAATGAAATGTCAGTTAAGTACATCAAGTAAAGGAGCCATCTTCTATTCTGTCCAATTGTGTACTCGAAACATCACATATAATATGTATGTGATGGAAATTACTGCACAAAGAGAGATAAAAGTAGGCCGTCAAATACAGAAAATAAATGTGTAATTAAATGACTATATTATGCAAAATAGCTTCCTTTAATCTTAACTTACACCTTGACAAAAAATAAAAAAATAAAAAAAATCTTAACTCACACCCTCTTACTTGCTAATTCATAAAATCATTTTTTTTTTTTCAATACAAGCGTTTAGTTTAAACTACAAGGACATGAGTTTCTCACACACATATTTTTTGGACCCTGTTGGCAATTCAGATAACTTTAAAATGGTTAAACATTTTTGGAAGGAATATTCGAAATGTTAATTATGATATTAGGTAATCGTGTGTGTATATTTTTTAAGCAGGAATAAATATGTATTTTGTTATATAAGTAATTAATAAAGAATTTGATCAAATTAGGTGTTAATTAATTCAACAAACCGACTTTGAAAGTGTGAGATGTATGCGGCGCCTGGACTACGTACACCTCTCTTCCTCACCTGCTTGCTTCGACCGATCATCTTTAAATAGCGCACATCATCTCTGTCTTTCTTATCCTTTTCCTCTAATTTTAGGAAATCAAACTCCTCCTACTTCTTAATCTCTACTTAATTCTTCTTCTTCTCTCCAATTCCAAAAATAAATAAAAATTAATAAACCCAACCCAACCCAACAAACATGGCTTCTGATCTCTCTGTCATCCTCCCTCGCGTTCTCATCGTCTCTAGACGTACCCTTCGTAAGAACAAGTTCGTAGATTTTGTGGGTACGCTTCCGATTCCCATAACAACAACAATTCATCTTCTTTTTCTGTTTTTATAAAAAATAATTT